AGCCTTCCTTTCATGTCCCTCTCCACAATGGTAAGAGCCACTGGTTTTACTCTTGCAAATGAGCTGGGCGTACAACTTTCTGAAGCCAGCTGACCACAGGGGTATGGAAGGCTTGTTTGGGCCTGTCCCTCCCACGGAAACTACTGCTGACCCACTTCTTCACAGTTCATCAAACGATTATGAGAATGGGGCAGGGTATGGTGAAAAGATAAAACGCTACTGCTCGAGGTTTCTCTTCCCTTTAGCTTTTTATGTTTCAAGGAGAAACTGATACTTCGAGCAGAAAGTAGAAGTGGCTGTTATGTCAAAGGAAAAGAAATAACGCTGTTCAAATGGAGATACAGTGATGTTGGGGTGATGTTTGAAACAGCAACCAGAGATAACCGTACTGTGGCAGTAAGCTTTTTTTCCGAAAAATACTGTAAACACTTACGTACTACGGTAATAATTTGCAACTCGAATATACCGTATTCACTGGCAGGATGCTACTACTATGGGTACTGTAGAAACCGTGAATAATACTTCATACATGGGTACTACAATGATAACTGCCGACACGGTTGATGTGGAAAGAAGGTATTCGTCATTATGACTACCAGAAATAGTGAATAGTAAACAACAAAAAAAGTTGTGTTTCTCCTAGTTTTCTTGAAGTAATTACAGTACCTCGAAAGAATAGTACCTTCGATTTTGAATGAATAAATAGTAAATTCAAAAACGACTGGTCAAAATATTATTTTGACCATTGCAGATATCGAAAGAAAGGCTCGAAGGCTGTCAAAGAGGAAGGATCGGATTACTGAATGAGAGGCCGGACACTTCTGTTTTAAGATTCTTAGTTACGATATTCGCTCAAAGTGTACTCATCGTTGTCAAGGAGTTCGTTACATTTCAATGAATTGCTTGTCATGCCTTTTTTAGTTATGCATTGTTTACTTTTACACAGTTGTCAATAGAAACACACCGAGGAGTGCCTTCGTTCAGCTGGAAAGAATAATGACGGGTCTCCATTGAGCTTTCAATTTCCAATGTCTCTGGGTTTGGCAGATTTCCACGTTCTGTCCGAGAGGGGGGGGGGGGGGGGGGGGGGGGGGGGGGGGGG